CCCTGACCATTTCCACTTCCCTGACCATTTCCCTGACCTCCACCCTGACCATTTCCACTTCCCTGACCGCCTCCCTGACCAATTCCGCTTCTCTGCCCATTTCCTTGACTGCCTCCCTGCCCATTTCCGCCTCCCTGACCATTTCCACTTCCCTGACCATTCCCTTGACCGCCTCCCTGACCATTTCCACTTCCCTGCCCATTTCCTTGACCGCCTCGCTGACCATTTCCACTTCCCTGACCATTTCCTTGACCACCTCGCTGACCAATTCCACTTCCCTGACCATTTCCCTGACCGCCTCCCTGACCATTTCCGTCTCCCTAACCATTTCCACTTCCCTGACCATTCCCTTGACCGCCTCCCTGACCATTTCCACTTCCCTGCCCATTTCCTTGACCGCCTCGCTGACCATTTCCACTTCCCTGACCATTTCCTTGACCACCTCGCTGACCAATTCCACTTCCCTGACCATTTCCCTGACCGCCTCCCTGACCATTTCCGTCTCCCTAACCATTTCCACTTCCCTGACAATTTTCTTGACCGCCTCCCTGACCATTTCCACTTCCCTGCCCATTTCCTTGACCACCTCCCTGATCATTTCCACTTCCCTGCCCGCCTCCCTGACCATTTCCACTTCCCTGACCATTTCCCTGACCTCCACCCTGACCATTTCCACTTCCCTGACCATTTCCTTGACCGCCTCCCTGACCATTTCCCTGACCGCCTACCTGTCCATTTCTGCCTCCCTGTCCATTTCTGCCTCCCTGACCATTTCCACTTCCCTGACCATTCCTTTGACCGCCTCCCTGACCATTCCCTTGACCGCCTCCCTGACCATTTCCTTGACCGCCTCCCTGACCATTTCCATTTCCCTGACCGCCTCCTTGACCATTTCCCTGACCATTTCCACTTCCCTGACCATTTCCTTGACCGCCTCCCTGACCATTTCCCTGACCGCCTACCTGTCCATTTCTGCCTCCCTGTCCATTTCTGCCTCCCTGACCATTTCCACTTCCCTGACCATTCCTTTGACCGCCTCCCTGACCATTCCCTTGACCGCCTCCCTGACCATTTCCTTGACCGCCTCCCTGACCATTTCCTTGACCGTCTCCCTGACCATTTCCATTTCCCTGACCGCCTCCTTGACCATTTCCCTGACCATTTCCACTTCCCTGACCATTTCCCTTACCGCCTCCCTGACCATTTCCCTGACCGCCTACCTGACCATTTCCACTTCCCTGACCGCCTCCCTGACCAATTCCGCTTCTCTGCCCATTTCCTTGACTGCCTCCCTGCCCATTTCCGCCTCCCTGACCATTTCCACTTCTCTGACCATTCCCTTGACCGCCTCCCTGACCATTTCCACTTCCCTGCCCATTTCCTTGACCGTCTCCCTGACCATTTCCACTTCCCTGACCGCCTCCCTGACCAATTCCACTTCTCTGCCCATTTCCTTGACCGCCTCCCTGCCCATTTCCGCCTCCCTGACCATTTCCACTTCCCTGCCCATTTCCTTGACCGTCTCCCTGACCATTTCCACTTCCTTGACCGCCTCCCTGACCATTTCAACTTCCCTGACCATTTCCACTTCCCTGACCATTTCCACCTCCCTGACCATTTCCACCTCCCTGACCATTTCCCTGACCGCCTCCCTGACCATTTCTGCCTCCCTGACCATCAGGTGTGCCAAACAAGGGAGATGCACAAGGTCTGCAGCCACAGACAGCAGCATAGATGGACCGACACGACAGCAAGCTGAGGCCGCCAACAAGAAGACTGCACTTCGCCCGAACCGGGACTTGAACCCTGGACCCTCAGATTAAAAGTCTGATGCTCTACCGACTGAGCTATCCGGGCTCTTGCACAGAGAATGCCTCTTACGTTTTATATAAGAGCAGTTTTCCTACAGACCGCCCAGAAGAAACTCATTTCTCGGCCACACGCGCTATGGGATGAAAACCACAAGCAATTATGGCAGAG